CTGAAATCAATGACACTGAAACAAAAGAAACTATTCAAAAAAACTGACAAAACAAAAAGCTGGTTCTTTGTAAAAATAAATAAAATTGATAAACCCTTTTTCACGCTAACAAAGAAAGAGAAAACTCAAAGTAGTAAAAGTTCATAATGTAAAAGGACCTTTCACATGGACACTATAGAAGAATATAGAAGATAATCACAAACTATTATGAAAATTTATACTCCAATAAAATAGAAAATCTTGAAGACATAAATAAATTTCTAGAGACATATGACCCACCCAAACTCAATCAGGAGGACATACACAATTTAAACAGATCAATTTCAAGCAATGAAACAGAAGATGCCATCAAAAGCCTAGCAACTTAATAAAGCCCAGAACCAGATTCTCAGCCAAGTTCTATAAAACCTTCAAAGAAGAATTAACACCAATACTCCTCAAATTATTCCATGAAATAGAAGAGAAGGGAATCCTTCCAAATTCATTCTATGAAGCTTCTATTACTCTGATACCAAAACCAGACAAAGACACATCAAGCAAAGAAAACTACAGACCAATATCCCTGATTAACATAAATGCAAAAGTTCTCAATAAAATTCTTCAAATCACATACAAAAACATATTTAAAAGATAACACACTACAATCAAGTGGGATTCATCCCAGGGATGTGAAGTTGGTTCAATATATGGAAATCAATAAATGTAATTTATTACATCAATAGACTTAAAGACAAGAATCATATGGTTACCTCAGTAGATGCAGAAAAAGAATGACAAAATACAGCACTGCTTCATGTTCAAAACAGTAGAAAAACTAGAAATATAGTGCATGCCTATAACCCCAGCAGCTCAGGAGGCTGAGAAGGAGGATCATGAGTTCAAAGTCAGCCTCAGCAAAAGCAAGGTACTATAAGCAACTCAGTGAGACCCTGTCTCCAAATAAAATACAAAATAGGGCTAGGAATGTGGCTTAGTGGTTGAGTACCCCTGAGATCAAACCCTAGTAACCACCACCCCCCAAAGGAAAAAAAAAAAAAAAAAAAAACAGGGATAGGAGGAACGTACTTTAGCATTGTAAAAGCTATGTGTTAAACCCAAGGCCAACATCATTCTAAATACAGAAAAATTGAAAGCATTCCCTCTTTCACAAGGATGCTGTCTTTCACCACTTTTATTCAACATTGTCCTTGAAACTGTAGCCAGAGCAATTAGAAGAAATTAAAGGGATTGTGGGGGGAGTGGTGCCTAGGGTTGAGGCTCAGCGGTAGAGTGCTCACCTAGCAAGTGTGAGGCCCTGGTTCAATCATAAAAATAAACAAAATGAAGGTATTGTGTCCAACTACAACTAGACAATTTTTTAAAAAAGGGATACAAATAGAAAAAGAAGAACTCAAACTATCACTGTTTGCCGACAACATAATTCTATATTTAGAAGATCAAAAAAAATTCTACCAAAAAACTTCTAGAACTAATAAGTGATCAACACCCATAAATCAAATGCATTTCTATACATCTGTGATGAATCCACTGAAAGAGAAATTAGGAAAACTACCCCATTCACAATAGCCCCCCCCCAAATGAAATGAAATACTTGGGAATCAATCTAACAAAAGAAGTGAAAAGCCAATACAATGAAAACTATATAAGACTAAAGAAAGAAAGTGAAGAAGACCTTAGAAGATGAAAAGATCTCCAGTGCTATCAGAGAAAACTAATATTGTCAAATGGCCATACAACCAAAACTGTTAGATTTAAAGCAAATCCTATTAAAATCCCAATAACATTTTTCATAGAAATAGAAAAGCAATCATGAAATTCATTTGGAAAAATAAGAGACCCAGATTAGCCAAGCAATCCTTACAAGACAAGTGAAGCAGCAGGCATCACAATACCAGACCTTAAACTATACTACAGAGCTATAGTAACAAAAAGGGCATGCTACTGGCACCAAAACAGACATTTAGACTAATGGTACAGAATAGAAGACACAGAGACAAACCCACATAAATATAGTTATATCATTCTAGACAAAGGCACCAAAAACATACACTGGAGAAAAGATAGCCTCTTCAACAAATGGTGCTGGGAAGACTGAAAATTCATATGTAGCAAAATGAAATTAAATCCCTCTCTCTCACCTTGCACAAAACTCAACTCAAAATGAATCAAGGACTTAGTCACTAGAACAGAGACCTTACGCCTAATGGAAGAAAAAATAGGCCCAAATCTCCACCACGTGAGCTTAGGAAGTGACTTCCTCAACAAGACTTCTATAGCGCAAGAAGTAAAATCAAGAATCAATTAACAGGGACTGGGGTTGTGGCTCAGCGGTAGAGCACTTGCCTCTTATGTGTGAGACCCTGGGTTCGATCCTTAGCACCACATAAAAATAAATAAACAAAATAAAGATATTGTGCCCATGTATAACTAAAAACATGTATATATTAAAAAAAAGAGAAACAATAAACAGGAAGGTTTCAAATTAAAAAGCTTCTTCACAGCAAAGGAAATAATCAAGACCACGAACAGAGCCTACAGAAATAGAGAAATCTTTGCCACCTGCACCTCAGATACAGCTTTGAACTCAAAAAACTCAACACCAAAAAAAAAAAAAACAAAAAAAAAAACCCAAAAAAACAAATAACCCAATCAATAAGTGTGCTAAAGAACTGAACAGATCCTTCATAGAATACAGTCAACAAATATATGAAAAAATGTTCAACATCTTTAGCAATTAGAGAAATGCAACTTAAAACTACACTGAGACTTCATCTCACTCCAGACAGAATGGCAATTATCAAGAATACAAGCAATAATAAAATGTTGGTGAGGACGTGGGGAAAAGGTACACTCATACATTGCTGGTGGCACTGCAAATTGGTGCAACCACTGTGGGAAGCAGTATGGAGATTCCTCAGAAAACTTGGAATGGAACCACCATTTGACCAGAGATCCCACTCCTCGGTTTATACGCAAAGGACTTAAAATCAGCAAACTATAGTGAAGCAGCTACATCAATGTTTAAAGCAGCTCAATTCACAATAGCTAAACTATGCAACCAACCTAGGTGCCCTTCAACAGATGGATGGATAAAGAAAATGTGGTACATATACACAATGGAATATTACTTAGCCCTAAAGAAATAAGGCATTTGCTGGTAAATAGATGGAACTGGAGAATATCATGCTAAGTGAAAAAAGCCAATCCCAACAAATCAAAGGCTGAATGTCTTCTCTGATATGTGGATTCTAATTCACAATAAGCAGGGCAGTGGTTAGGGAAGAATAGAGGTACTTTGGGATTAGACAAGGGGAATGAGGGAAAGGGAAGAGGAATGGGAATAGGAAAGATAGTAGAATGAATCGGACATTACTAGCCTATGTGCATATATGATTACACAATCAATGTAATTCTACATCATGTACAACCAGGAGAAGTTATATTCCATATATGATGATATGTCAAAATGCATTCTACTATCATGTATAACTAATTAGAACAAAGATTCTACTCAATATTCGGACTGAAAGAGCAACTAAGAACAAAATCATAAAATGTAAATTATCCAATTTATTTTCCTTATCAGAAGAAAGCTGTAATATTTGCCCACAGATAACATTATTCCAGTAAAAAAATTCCTACACAAGACACTGCTGTCATTTTTATTCAAACACAGTCAAGGCTGGAGACATGTGCATCTAGCACCAACGCCATGAGATTATTATGGTCCACACAGAATGTTTAGGTTACCTCAACCCAGCTCTTAATAACATGCTTTCTGGGTCTATCTGCAGGTGGGAGCCTGGATAAGCCAGAAAATGGAAAAACAGTAAAGGCAACGCTGGGTTAATTCAAACATTGGAGTTTCTAACTTCTATTTTAAAAGGAATGGGAAAAGCATGAGACACACCAGACTTATCAGAAGTCTTCTGACAATGAAACTTTTAGAGAAACACCACACAAGTGATCCTTTTAATCTCAATTCTCAGAGTGCAGGCCTAGGGATGATGAAAATGGGTTAAGCATGGAGAATGCTTAAAGACTGAACCTGGTCAACAGGATGTGTATAAATATATAAAAGTAATAACCTTAACAATATGATAGTTAAAATTTCAGCACTATGTTTGTGTCAGACACTGTGATGAGTGCCTTATGTGCATTATCTCACTGTCAAACCCTGTAAGGTGGGTGCTACTGTTGCCCTTATTTTATAGATGAGAAATTGAAGCTTAAACAAGGTAACCAGTTTAAGACAGTGGTGGTGTGTACAAACAGTCCCAGCTACATGAAAGGCTAAGGCAGGAGAATMATTTGTGTTCAGGAATTTGAGGCTAGCCTGGGAAATACAGCCAAGTCCCTGCATCAAAAATACAAAAACAAACAATGGTAAAGAGTTCAAGAACATATAGTTAATTAACGGGAAGCCTGAATTTAAATTCAAGAAGTCTGATTTTAGACAAAGTACTTTCTTTTTGGGGGGATATGGAGGATTGAATCCAGGAGTACTCTTAAGTGTTACCAAAAGCAAAATTTTTCAGAAATCAGAGATCAGACTACATATGTGAAACTTGAGTCCAAAAGAGAGGTAACTACATAATATTAAAAGTTCTTTAAAATCATAGGAAAATAGTTTCTTCATCTTTATGGCCTTAATATGCCTACAAGAGTCACAGTTATTGGGATTAGTGTATTTCTCTGGTTTCATTTGATGACAAAAATCAAGACAAATTCAGTTAGTTACCACAATTGGATATTCTGAATTTAAGATAAAAAGGACATAAGGGGATATATCACCACTGATTTTCAAACTATGTGCCATTAGATTAAAATGAAATGGTAAGTGAAATTCATATTAAAACCAAATAATGATTAGATACTAAAATGTACATATTTTAGATATTAAAATATGAAATCTAGATTGCCAGATAAAAATTATCCAAATACAAGTTTTATAACCCGAAACCCCTATAACATTTAAAATAACTGAAAAAGACCAAGGATTAAGTGGAGAAAAATCAAGAGGGACCCCTTTATTACACATTTATAAAACACTAGTATATATACTACAGTTATTAAAAATGGGACAATTTTTCAAATTTTTGGTATCTTATATTTTGCATTCCTTTTTCCATCATGCTTACAGTCTTTCCAAACTTGTTTTCTGTTACCAAAGTGTTCTGCAACCTCTATCCCACCAGAGTACAAATTAAAGAAAAAACTATTCAATAGGTTCTTGTGAGAGACATTATCAAAGAAACTAAATTAATCTGATAACTCATTAACAACGATTGAGTTTTCAAAAAAATATAATCAAAACAAAAGCATCTAAAACTTAATTTAATCTTTCTGATGATTCAAAAAGCACCTTAAGATTGTGTCGTGCCATTTTACTCATGCTATGTATTTAGGTGCCTATAATAGAATTCTGGTTARTAGATTTGGAACTAAAAATAAAGTTTTGTATGTAGTTACAGAGCAGTAAATAACTACAGATATAATATAGGAATTCTGATGTGTAGTTTTGTACTTAATGAGGCCACAATTTTTAATACATTGAAAATTTTTCAAATTAAAGCTACAAAATGAGTATTCTTAGTACATTTAGTAATAGCTACTTATTTTAAACTATCATTTCATTTTTGGTGACCAAATTATATTTGACCATAATTAAAGAACAAACATTTAAGAAACACATGGTTACAACAGAACTGTTACATTAAAAGAAGAAAGGAAAATAAGTCATGCACATGAAGGGCACGGAAATTTTTCAAACTTATTCTTTTGAAAGCCTTTCAATYCACCTAAATCAATCAATTTAGAACTTAAAAAGTCTGCTCGATGTGCTTATGAAAAGAGGCAAAATCAGTGTTGACCATGTCTGCCTAACAACTACCCAATGCTGATCACTGAACAAGTATTTGTATTTCATTATCCTGTCAGCCATTATGACAAAGCCACGAGTATATATTCAGACGTAGCTGATTCAACTGATCAACTGCAGACAAAGAAATGTTCAGTTTAAAAAAGATAAAACAAATGACAATTGGAAATGACTGAATCACTGTACCTATTGGACACAACCTTAAATCTTAGTTTTGCTATATACCATTCCAGTACTTTTGGATTCAGTAGTTGGGGTAAAAAAAAGTTCTGTATTCAAACATATCTACAGAATGTCAATAAAAAAATGAGTGGATATATACAATTAATATACACACATACATACTCTCTCTCACACACACACACACATACATATCTAGGAACCAGCACCTACCACATTCCCATTTCTCACTAATGACCCAATGAATCATTTATTACTTTAAGACCAGCTTAGATTCTATAAGGCTRTAACAACATATGGCTAAAGAGGTCAAACGCAAGCACCCACACTTGGGCTGGATTAAATTGTTCCTCCTCATGATTTCTGAAAAGTAGTCATGCCATTTACATAACAACTATACCTCAATAACTTAGAATTCAGAGTAAAAAACCATAAACACGGAACTCCCTCAATGTTTTAAGAGCACTCCTTTCACTCTATTTCCATAATAAGAGGGCACACAGAACTAGATCACCAAACTGTACAAATGATCTTTACTCTTAATCTAAACAAACATGTGTTAAAACATTCTGAAATGCTGCATCCTTTGATTTCTTCATCTTTTCAATTGCTCGATGGAGGTCCTGCTGTTGCACAGGCCGAATTTCATCTTCATCATGACTAAAATGCAAACAAATCCAAATAATTTTATAATACATTTCCCTAAAATATGTTACCAACATTAAAAAAAAATACATGTGGTAGAAAAATAAGACTGTTAATGATAAAGTCTCTTTTCCCCAAAACAACCACAATTAACACAGCAAATTCTCTCAGGAATTCTATGCATACTCAAGTCATAAGAGATTTTTTAAAGACACTGACTGCTAAAAGATAGGAAATCAATACCAAGAATATAATGTAAGTACAGAATATTACCAAAAAATGAAGATGTTACCCAGTATTATCAGTTTATCCAAATAGGTATATACATAATTCCCATCAAAAAATTAAAAGTTATTTCTATGAAAATGGAATTGAAAAATAGCATTTCTAGGTATATACTCATGTTTAGCTTTTTACAAACTGGAAGTAAAACATCATTAAAAAAAAAAAAAACCAATCCAAGTCCTCCCCACTTTAATCATGAGGAAAAAATTAAGCATATTATGCCTCCTATGTAGTTCAAAGGTACTTGATGGAAAAAATATTGATAGGGAAAGTAAAACATGTCTTCTTATTAAGTAATCTTAAAATTTATGTTGTATAGGTTATTACTTTCTTTCTTTTTTCTTTTTTTTTTTTTTTTTGTACTGAGGGCTTAACCCAGGGGAGCTTTACCACAGATCTATATCCCCAGTCCTTTTTTATTTTGAGAGAAAATCTTGCTAAGTTGCTGAGGCTAGCATCAAACTTGCAATTATCTGGCTCCAGCTTCCCAAGTTGCTGGAATTATAGGCGTATGCCAGTGTACCCAGCTTATTTTTCCATATTTGACAACAATAAAGACCTTTGGAAGGCAGATTCTTTAGCTGCAGAGGTCAAAAGTATTCCCCAACTTGCTAAAGTAGCTGGATTAATCTGGCAACAAATAAAGAGTGTCAACTTCTTCACAATGGAGCTTGAGGAAGTACTATCAATGGGACCAGAATCCTGCATACATAGCTACTGGTTGATAGGGTAGCTTTCACACAAACCCTTCTATACCCACACACACAAAGGTTTTGCAGAAGTGTGCTATGGTAACACCCTATACTTAAGTATAAAACTACCAGAGGCAAATCAGGATCACTTGGACTAAGATCCTCAGGGAGTTCAAGAAGGGAAACTGACAAAGTGGCAAGAGTTTGAGAAGTCATTCAACCTACCCCGCCCCCCTGCAAAGAATACTAGTTTTAAGAGTCTCAGGAATTCTTTGTTAAAGGGTTGCTATTCTGAAAAGAAATGCATAGTAGTACTTGTTCAGGGCAAGTGACCTTTTGAGAATCTTCCTTAAAGGATAAAGTTAATAGGGCTGAATTATCCCAGTCCACCAGTATTCTTGCTGAAATTAAGAATAGTACAAAATTTAATTCTCAAGTTTAACATACTTTGAAATTAGTTTCAAGAAAATTTGGTTTAGTAACAAATGGTTTGTTTAATAACATTATTACTAACAAATTAAGGATTCAGTACCCCTTTCATTTACACATGAAATTCCTGGAAAAGAAGACATTCATTTCTATATAACGGAATTTAAGATGCAAAAATTATCTAGGTATGCGAGAGAACTCTCCTAACAGAGACGGGCTTGCCTAGGTTTCTGTCAGCTTTCTGGGACCCATACCATGGATTACCAGAAGAAATTCAGCTTTTGTCCCCTAGAACCTCTCCACTGCCCTTTCTTCCTTCCTTTAGAACTCCCCTTTAGAAATTTGGGAGAAATAAGGGGGAAATAAATAAAGGGGAAAGGGGAGCTGCTTATTCAAATTTACCTTTTATTCCCCAAGTAGGGTTACTATTATGAAGCAAAATTTCAAAAAACTAAAACTAAAAGCTCTAAAAGGTTTGATAAATACCAGAAACAAGTCTAAATATATACATACCTTTCTTCTGATGTAGAATTAACGTATTCCCTGACACAGAGGAGGGCAGCATCTCGACACATCTCTTTTAGGTCACTTCCTGAAAAGCCATCAGTTTCCTGGGCAACCTCTAGCAGGTCTACATGCCTATCCACCTTAAACAAACATGAAATGTGCTTAAGAAACAAATATAAAATATACTGCAAAGGATGCTTCCAAACATCTGTCTCAGAGTTAAAGAAAGTTAAGCATATTGTCAAAGCAGAAACATTAAAAAGTACTTTCAAATTTTAGAATTTTTTTCAATAACCACAAAGTTTAGAAACTTGAAATTCAATTTTCATTATCATTTATCATGATAGAAGTTAGTTTACTGGATACACTGTGGAGTGATGAGGAAGAGTAGACATTCAAGCACTGTTGGGGTTCACTTTTGAACTTCTAAAGAAGATATCAAATTGACATATTTTATAATATATTCAACATACTTGGCATAGAGCTTGCATTTTTAAGTCCATTACAAAAACCAAAACACTCTATTTAACATTCCTTTTAAATGTGATGCTTTATTTTAGTACTTACAGTTCTACTCTCCATCCTAAGCTTATAGTCAAGTCAGTTAAGTCAAGGCCAAATAACAGCTTTGGGAGAATAAAAGCATCATCATAAACTTATGGATAAAAAAATGAACAAGAAGATATATTCATGACTACCATCTATATCTGCTCATGCTACGTCGCCAAGGATATATCCTACTACCTCAGCCTCCCAAGTAGCTGGGATAATAAGCATGCATCACCTTGACCAGCCATTAAGGCTTTCTAAGGTTTTATAATAATAGCACTGGAAAGAGGGAAGAGATGTTATTAATTAGACTTTATATCTAAAAAATTGGGGGGTTACCAGTAAGGCATACAAAGAGAATTTGTAGCTTTGAAATCAGGAGAGGAAGAGGAAAAAAGGGAGTAAGAAATACAAGAGCAATACTAATGAACAAAGACTAGGGGGTAGGGGTAGAAAGCAAAGGAATGGGAAAGATTAAAATAAGAATAAACACAAATTTACCAGTAATCATCACAAATAGAATAAATCAGGAAATGACAAGATATTCTGTGTTTATGTTGTTTATGTGTATGTAGTAAAAATGTAGCTGAGGTCTGAAATTCACAACTATGCTAAAGAAAATAGGCTTTGTTTATATTTAAAAAGAAGTTTAAAGTTGAAAATGACATACAAAGCAAACACTGAGAGAAAGTTAATATAGTTCTAGTTACATCAGATCAAACATTTTTATGCAAAATGCTTAACTGGGATGAGAAATCATTACATAAAAAATAATACACCAGAAGAGACAAAAACTCCCTGTACCTTTACATACCTAACATCATGGCCCCAAAACATAATTATGTAGAAAAATGGGCGAATTCACACTAATATTGGGATATTTTTAACATGTCTCATATATTGAAACATCAAAGAATAAATTCTTAGAGCCAGTTAAAATTTGCACCTGTGATCTAATGTACTTACATGTATTAGGACTCATATACCTGACCAGAACAACTTAGGACGAAAAGTTTACTTTGGGCTCACAGTTTCAGAGGCACAGTCCATGATCAGCCAACTCCATTGTTCTGGGGCCAAGATGAGGTAGAATGCATGGAGGAAAGAAATGGTGGAAGAAAGCTYCTCAGCTCGTGGCAGTCAGGAAGCAGAGAGTGAGTTCGAGGTGCCAGGAACAAAATATAAATCCTAAAGGCATGCCCCCAGTGACCCATTTCCTTCAGTTATACCCTACCTGCCTATAGTCATCACAGAGTATAGTAGTCCTTTCAAATTATTAATTCATCAAGCAGATTAACCCACTCACTAGATTATAGCTCTYGTAATCTAAGCATTTCACCTTTGAACATTCCCAATTTGCCTAACATGAGCTTTTTGGAGGGGATACTTCATATCTAAACTATAACCACAGATAAACCTTGCAAACACATTACAGGAATTCAGCATATAATTTAGATATTAGTCCTTTTTGGTTATAGTGTTGTAAATGTTTTTCCACTTTGTTCATGTTATCTTGTCATAGAGAAGATTTAAGTCTGATATAGTCAGATTTGTCTATTCTCTTTGTAGTTTTCACTTTTTTGTTTCAGGGACTCTTCTTTGTACATCAACAGATACATACAAGGATCCAATTTCTTTACCATTTGTAATAGTAAAAAATAAATAACCTACACCTATGCAAATGTAAGGCATCTACTCTCAAATATTAATTAAATTGATATTCACTGTCAACTTCGGGAAAGTAGGTTAGATGGTGATAGGGGTGTGGGTAGAGATGGGTTGCTAAATTTGATCTAAATTTGAAAGAAGTTAGTTGTCTGTCTATAACTTAAAAAAAAAAAAAAGAAAGAAAATTCTAGTCATGGGGGAGCAAGTTAGTTAACAGAGAAAGCATAGCCTAATGATTCAGAGAAAGGTTCCATCACTTCTTTGTGTGATTCTGAACAAATTTTTATATAACTTCTCTGGGTTTCAGTCTCCTCAACTATAAAACAGAGCTAATATGTACTCCTTGTAGGACTGAGTAGTATATAAAACAAGGCACAATTCACAACAGTGCTGGTACATAGCAAGCACTCCAAAAGTACCCCCCTCTTTTTTTTACTGTAGAATAATAGACATTAGACAAATCATGAATGGAAATTCTTTTCATTAAGCAATAAAGCCAATTCCCAAATTGAAGGTTTTTGAGAACTGGTAACAATATTAGAGCATATTAAGAGACTTCTAAAATAACTTGAAAGAAAAGCACTTGTTTATATAGGTATTTACTTTACCTAAAATTAACTGTATACTTAATATGCATATTACTCTAAGCAGTTTACATACAAAAATCTAATTAAATTCTCAAAATGATTCCATTAGATTGTTGGCATCTAATTTCCAAAAGGAAAAAAAAAATTAGGCATAAATATACTGAACAGTATGACCAAGCAGGGAATGGTCAAGCCAGAATATGGGAGACTCTCAGGTCTGTCTCTGAAGCCCATGCCTGTTAATTATTTCTGTTTAAATTCAGATAAGTTTGTATAGGGGAAAAAAGTGACCTCCTTACTTTACAGTCAGACATGATACTTTTATAATATAAATTTTATTAGCGTTAATTCTTTTTACACTTAAAATTTTAAGCCAAAACTACTACACTACTTTAAAAACTTATTTATTTTATTTGGTACTAGGGACTGGACCCAAGGGAGCTTTACCACTGAGCTACATCCCCAGACCTTTTAATTTTTTAAATTTTGAGACAGGGATTTGCTATATTGCCCAGGCTGGCTTTGAACTCTCTTGCCTTAGCCTCCCAAGCAGTTGGGATTACAGGTGTGTACCACTGCACCCAGCTTACCCTTTCTTTTTAAAAGAAAGCAAATAATGTTATGGAATATCTATTAATAAAGAACTGTAAGAGTGGAACACAGGATCATTTTAAGAGTATCAATCTTTTCTTCAGAGAACATAAACTCAAAAAATATAAAAGTCTGCTACTTTATTTCTATAAACGCTTATTTATTCAGTAATGTAAAAACAGCAATGGTACTCACTTGTGCTACTGATGTGAAGCATCTTTAAAAAAAAAGTAAATAAATTTCTTTCATATTTTATTGAAGGAGCAATCTGCCTTCAGCATATAAATATTAGCTAGTAGGAAATGAGATGTTCCCATGTCAGCAATTATCTGGAGAACACTCATATTTTGCATCATAAAACTGATTAGAGACTAATCATTTGTGCTTTCATGAATAAGAAACAGAATGCTAAAAACTTCCTGTGCCCATGACAAATGTAATTCTAAAAGAATTTCCAAAGACATTGCTATTAAAAAAAAAAAACACAAAACAATATTGAAACAGAAATTTCATCATTTACACTGTTGATATATATTTAAATATATAAATCATCTACATTATCTATATCTTTACTAGATACATACATGTGGTTTAAAAACATGGTTAACTTTCAGTTATGCAATACAATATCTCATTACATTTTTTTAAAGTTAAATAAATTATACTGATAATCTGAAATCTCTGCAAAGTTGTCAAGAACTATCTCCTAATATCTGTTCAATTTCTAGGCACAACATAGTCGACATATCTCCTCTGTTTATTTCTCCTTCTGATGTCTATTCTTGAGAAAGATTTATAAACTGTGTTTTATCTAAATAGTACTGCAACTACACAATATCTTTCTGAAAGCAGTTACCAAATATTCAATTAAAAGGCAAAATGTAATTTGCATTTTTTATCTAAGACAGGAATTCCTTACTAATATGGAAGATTTAGGAATTTCTCTGAAATCAAACAAAATATTCCATGCAAATATGTTGCTTTCTTAGGAAAGACTAGAGCTTTTATCTCATTCTTAAAAAGACTTTACCACTCCCAAAATGGTTAAAACCATGGATCTGTAATCTTTGTAATTTATTCTGATCTTTGTAATTTGATAGGTTCTTTAATCTTTTTCACAGAGTATATATTACTGCTCTGCTTTAAGTAAGTGGCTCAAATTCATATGTCAGAAACTTAATCCTCACCTCAGTAGTATTGAGACCTCATGGGATTGGAGCCCTCAAGAATGGTTTAATGTTGGGCTGGGGCTGTGACTCAGCAGTAGAGTACTCACCTAGCAAGTACGAGGCCCTGGGTTCTATCCTCAGCACCACATAAAAATATATAAATAACGGTACTGTGTACAACTACAACTAAAAAATAAATATATATATAAAAAAGAATGGTTTAATGTCACCATGGGAGTGGGTAAGTTACTGAGTCTGCAGGCTGTTAGAGAGATCCACCACTCATACTTTTACTTTTGCACATGTGTTCAATTGCCCTTCTGCTTTTCTGCCATTATATACAGTATGAAAGCCCGCACTATCCATTGTCACCATGCCTTTAGACTTCCCAGGTTCCAGAACTGTGAGCTAAATAAGCTTCTGTTATAGCAATGGAAAAATGACTAGAACAGTAATTCTGATATACTTTAGAACCCTGCTGAAACATAAGGAAGAATTAATCAGAAAGAATATTTGCTATGGGATAGAAAGATTTAACACCAAGAAGATCTCAATTCTCTTGAATAATTATCCACTAAAAATATTAACTTTTTTCCCTCCAAAAGGCAAACTGATTTTAAACTTCATGAAAAATAAATAAATAAATAAATAAATGGGGTGGGAATAGGAATAAATAAATAAATAATAGGGATAGAAAAACAACATGGGGTAGTTCCACTAGATATTATAACTTATAAAGCCACAATAATTAAAACAGTGTGTTGCCAGTGTACACAAACACAAAAGACCAATGACCTGAATTCAAAGTCCAAAACACAGCCAAAATGTGAAAATTCAATAAAGAAAAAGATGGCCTATTCAATAATTGGTGTTGGGACAAATGAATTCCCATCTTAAAAAAAAATAAAATAAAAGCAAATTTGGATTCATACTGCACATTACCTATTCAGATAAATTCCAAATACAGCAAAGATTTACTTACTTACTTATTAATTTGAACCCTCTAAACTACATCCCCAACTCTTTTTTGTCCTCTCCTTTTTTTCCCCCCAATATTGGGAATTGAACCCAAGGCCTTACACGTGCTAGGTAAGCACTCTACAACTGACCTACATTCCCAGTTCATCTTGTCTTTTTTTATACATTTTCAAATTTGAACAAATTAAAAAAAAATTCTTTCAATTTTGAGATAGTCTCAAAAGTTGCCCAGGCTAGCTTTCCTTGTACTCATGCTCCTCCTGCCTCAGCCTCCCAATAGCTGGGATTAAAGATGCATGCCACCATATCTAGCTCCTTATACCCAAGATTTAAATATAAAACATAAAACCACAGCCACCATGATATTATATATCTCCTGATGGAAGAATATAATCTCACCTAAGAAGTAGTCCTGTCCTGTCTTTTCTATCAACCTGAACTTAAATATTACCAGTCTCCTAACCCAACTACCAAATTTAGAGGGTAACTGTATAAATAGCAAAATCTGGACTGTGGAAAACAATTCAAAAGGGAGGGAGAGAAAAAAAAAAAAAAAAGAAGAAGAGAAATGAAACTTTAGTTTATACATTAAACAAGACTTAAAAAAAAGTACCAAATAACTGCAAATTATGAACTCAATATAGGTAATCAAGTCAAACAAAAACTGCTAAAAAAAAATCAAGACATTTAGGAGACAATTAAAAATTTGAAAAGATTAGACAATGATAACTAAATTTTTGTTAGATGGGTTATTAACAAGGTTATACAAATACAATACAATACAATACAATACAAATGAAATATTTACAGATGTAATACAATGGGAAATGTGGGAAGTTAAGAAGTGAGATATGAAAGGAGAAGTAGATACCGATGGGTTCAAGGAAGGAAGGAAGCCACAGACATACAAATATCCTGGACTAGGGAAATCTATTTTAGTTTCTTAGTTTTAGTATTGAGTTCAAACAGTGAGTTTAGATATCAAAAATATATTTGGGGGCTGGGGATATGGCTCAGTGGTAGAGTACTTGCCTAGCACATGTGAGGCACTGGGTTCGATCCCCAGTACCACATTTTAAAAAAACAAAATAAACAAAATAAAGGTACTGTGTCCATCTACAACTAAAAATATTTTTAAAGTAAAAATTTAAAAATATATATTCAGGTTGACAGAGAGAGGAGACAGGACTTCTTAGGTGAAATTATATTCTTCCATCAGGAGATATACAATATTCTTGATGGCTGTGATTTTGTTTTACTTTAAAAATAAAAATATTAAAATTAAAAATATATGGAGTKTTAGAAAAGCAAGTAACAAGAACTTAGAAATATGGGAAATTCTTTTGTAAACCTGAGAAGAGAAAAGGACATTTTAATTTATATTTAAAACTCAGAAGCCATAAACAGGGGAAAAATTATCAATAAAATCAAAAGATGAACTTGGAAACTTTGTCAAATCATACAAAGGACAAATCTCCCTAATACAGAATTTCTACAAATCTTTATAAAAAGGAACAATTCAATAGAAAATGAGTGAGGCTAATGCAGGAGGATACAGGTTTGAAGCCAGCCCCAGCAATTTAGCAAGACTGTATACAACCTAGTGACACCCTGTCTCAAAATAAAAAATAAAAAGGGCTAGGGATGAGTGAGGCTCAGTGGTTAAGTGCTCCTGGGTTTGGTCTCCTGGGTTCAGTTCTTTGTACAAAAAAAATGGGGGGCGGGAGCGTGGAGGGATTTATAGGGGGAAAAAAAAAGTCAAACTCCTCTTAAAAATATATAGCAATACTCACTTCATCTCTAAAGAATGCAAATTAAAACTTTAATGAGATAACTATTTTCTAACCCATCATGCTGGCACAAAATTCTATAACATTCTTTGCCGAAGCTTTAAGAAAAGAGGTACTCCAATATTGCCAGTATGAGAATAAACTTTCACAGACAATTTGGCAAGAGCTACCAAAACAGAAAGAAATACCCTGTCCTTAGATTTAGCGATTTCTCTTCTGTAAAAATTTGCTTTACTAATATTCTGGTACAAGGTTATTCAATGCAATATTTTTATAATAATGAAAGACTAGAATCAACCTGAATGTCCTTCAATATGGCACTGATTAAAAACATTACATTGTAGTTATACAATAGAATCCCAGCAGTATAAAGAGAGAGAGAGCAGAATAAGGAAAATATATGCTAATATGGAAAGACCTCAAAGATAAGAAAGCAATGACCAGAATAGTGAAATGACTTGTTAACATGGTTTATATTTTTTAAAAAAGGAGGAATAACAATATATTTTAATTTGCTTATAAAGACATAACAACAATTTCAAAGTACAGAATACAAGGAAGGGAGAATTTTCCCTGTATACCATTCAATATATGTATTTTAATGTTTGAAACATTTGACTATATGGTCTATTAAAAAAAAAAAAAAAAAAAAACCTTAAATACAAAAGATATTGAAGGGGCTGGGGTTGTAGCTCAGTGGTAGAGCACCTGCCTCACACATGTGAGGCACTGGGTTCAATTCTAAGCACCACATAAAAATAACAAAGATTTTTTTAAGATATTGAAGATTTCTCTTAAATCTAAATTCCAACTTCAAAAAATATTTCAACTAAGTAGAAACAAGACGCAAAACAAAAATTTATTTTCTTTACAAAAATAAATGTTCTTATGTAACCACAGAATGGTCTAAAAAATATCAAAGAGTATTAATACAAAAACATGAAGCTCACCTTAACTAGTTCAAAGGTACTGAGTTACAGGAGCAAACTACAGTTTTACAGTAATTTTGATCAAGTTCAAAATTACATGATTTTCAGACACCTCATTCATTCCTCTTTAAAATAATTTTATGAACATAAACACCACATTATAGAATGAGGAAAAATGATTTTCTACTTACATTTTCATTTTTCAAGATGAGCTTCAAGATTGCTTCTCTTTGTTTTAGAGCCTAAATGCAGAATAATTTCAGTTAGCATTTTTTTTAAAGATCAATTAGTTTTCCTAATTCTTCTTCCCTTATGAACTATGTGATGATACCTAAACAAAATGACAGAAACTTTCTGTACATAGTGGCACATGACTGTCATCCCAGGAACTTGGAAGCTTAGGAGGATGGCAAGTTTGAGGGCAGTCTCAGCAACTTAGTGAAACCTCTCTCAAATTAAAAAGGCGGGGCAGGGAACTGGTGATATCGCTCAATGGTAGAGCATCCGGAGGTTCAATCCCCAGTACTCATAAATAAATAAATACAGAAACTCTGGTAGAGATCAAATCAAGATCTTATTTTGATACTCTACAGTAATCATCTGTGGGTATGCCACTGAATTCTATTTCTTATTCTGTATCCCCAGTGCCTATAATGTATGGGAAAGAATATGCCCTTAATATTTACTGAATGAGTGAAGGAATATCTATGTGTTTCCCATATAACTCTACAATCTTCCTTAYGAAATTTATGAAAACTCACTACTACCCTAAGATTGAGAGGGACTGAGGAAAGGGGGTTACTAGGGGTGCTCTACCTCTGAGCTAAATCTCCAGCTCTTTTCATTTTATTTTTGAGACAGGCTAAATTCACCAGACTGGCCTCAAATCTGTAATCCTCCTGCTTCAGTCTTCAGAGTAGCTAGGATTATAGAAATATACTATTGCACCTGGCTGCCATAAGATGTTTTTTTACCAGTAACTGGAGGTTGGGGCAACACTTACCTCTCCTCCATTTAATATAAAATGTCCACGTTCACTAACACTCATCAGTGAATTTTTATTTAGTTCCAATGATTTTCCCCCAGTGATACCTCACATTATTATATTAGAAACTACACTTAAGGAATAATTATATAGATTTTTAAAAATATTTTTAGTTGTAGATGAACACAATAACTTTATTTTGTTTATTTATTTATGTGGTACTGAGGATCGAACCCAATGCCTCACACATGCTAGCAAAGTGCTCTACCACTGAGCTACAATCCCAGTAAAGGTTTTGAAAGAAGTTGACGTCAGTTTAGATTTTTAGAATTATGACAGAATTCATCCTTAATCCTCTTGAACCACTGACAAAAAAAAATGCTCATTACAATGATCCTCAAAATAAAACTCTACAGTTTCTGTAATTCACATGTATTGAGTAATGAAGGTTCACTTGGTATGTTATGTGATCACCAATAACTACTTCTGTTAATAACCATTTTATTTGATTAGGAGTTTTAAGATAAGGTTACACTTTGACACTGTAGTTAAACAGGAAAGAAAATCCTCTAATATATGTGCATATTCATTTAAAACAGAATGAAAAGGAAGTAATGAAGTTCCAATTTCTATGTTATCCATACACAAATTTATAACAAATTTGATGAAATCTGTTACAAATTAGTCTGATAACATATAATACATTATAACTTCAAAAAATATTACTTTCCATGTTGTACTCTAAGTTCTATACACTTGTACATCAAAAACCTTTCTTTTTCTATTGGGCTACAAGGTATCTTCTATTATTTGATAAATACTATTCATCAAAACCTCTGTTGTCCTGATAAAAGTCAGTAATCTTGGGATTCAGAATTACAGGAAAACTAATTTACTTTAAAATGTCTTGCTTACAAAATATAAAACATTCTTGCATAAAGCATATAAGGTTAAACTTGGTTAYAGTCAACCTTTCCAGGTTTATCTCTATTTTCCTTGGTTTCTAACAGAGCTACCCCTAAAGCTCACTCAAACTATTCCTGCCTTTGTTCATTCTGGTAGGAAGAACCCTTATTTTATTTGCCTGTTAAATTCCTACCATCCTTCAACATCCAACTAGATTCCGTAAATCCAAGGGCTCCATAGACAAAATTACTAGTTTTCATCAGATTCTCATGGTTCTTTGAACATACCTTTGTAAAACATGTTAACATTATTTATGTTGTCTGCTTTCCCAGTAACCCAAAGTTCTTTTGAGAAAAAGGGCAATGTTTCATTCACCAGAACCAGCAAGTATCTGACAAATATTAATACTTGGTAAGTATTCATCATACTAAATATAATTTATGCTCTGCTATTTCAAGTTTTTAAAAAAAWCTCTTCATTGATTTATCAGGTAATTTTCAAATATAGTAACTAAATATGTGCATATTCTCTGAGGAACCAGAAGTACCAGAGATTCTAACTGTAGCAAATACTTTATCAGACTAATTTTACAGAGTCACAATCATCAAACTTTAGAAGGCCAATTTTTACTGCAACAAACTGATATGATAAGCTTCAGAATATAAATGGGACAAATAATTTTTAGTCAAGGATTACAAATGAAATTATATATATTTTTACAACCAAACCTGAAAGGAATAAAAACTAACTATAAGTATATCATGTTGACTATATGGAACATATCTTCTACCATGGWAATCTGTTTTTTTCTTTTTTCTTCAATATAAAGACATACAAAATTCAATATTTTAAGATTCTCTGCAAAATTTAAAGGGTATCAAAAAGTTATAATCATCTATTTGAGGATACATCTTAACTAACAAAAAAAAATGCTAGAAAGAAGGCAGTAATGGTTCAACATGAGCCACAAATTTGCATTAAGTTAAGCATATATAATACTTTAGCTTTGGGAATTAGTATCTAGTCAGAGAGAAGTACTGATTACATTTWCCAATAATTAATCAAAACCAAATAGTTCTTCATGCTAGGCCTTCAGAATAAAATAAGTATTTAACATTTTTTCCCCAATTTTATTCTATGCTAATCTAAAAATATAATTTAGATTTTTTAACATATCTTCCTAAAGTAAATCATTAAAATAACTAGGCAAATATGATGTAATTATATTCTTGGAAGAGAAGCAAAACCCATTGATCTTAGGGTAAAAAGAAAAAAAAAGCAAAGAAGAGAGAGGAAAGCTCAAAGAAGCAATTGTGGAATTTCCTGYTCCATTCCTTCCCTGCCTGTCATAAATGAGTCCTATGAAACAAAACATTCCTTCTTTAAAAATCACAGAAAGACTTGTTTAAAAGGTGAATATTTAACTGTTTTATAAATCAAGAGCACTTACAGGCTGGTTGATATGAAATCTTGTAGGCATTCTTCTCATTATAGCTGAGTCAAGGTCCTGAGGACGATTAGTAGCTCCCATTACTATGACCTAAATACAGAAAGAAACACAAGGTATTAAATATATCAATAATAACCTTTGAGGTTATTATTACTAGGACTTCGAAGGTAAAGAAAATTAAGTGGTTTTTAAACTGAATCCTTTAAGAAATCTAGTTTTAATCCAGTATTACTCAAGTATTTATAGAAAAAAGTAAAGTTAATCCTAAATAAAATAATAACCAATCTGGAAAGATTCATGCATTTCATTGGATGTCTAGTAACTAAAACATGTACTGTTTAGTTGCAAGTGTCATTATTAAAGAATTATAAAGATTTTTTAGAGGGTTGTTGTATTTTACAAAATACTTACCTTAAATATAGTTTGGGAGTATAGACAGTGGGGGATCATGTCCTTTAATAATAAATATGGAGAGAATCAATTCTCCACAAGTATGAGGATTCTGAAAATGTACTTTTTTCCCTCTAGATTTCACATCATTGTCTTAAGAGACTATCAACATTGTAGGCAATATCTTCTCAAAGCTAAATATAAAGTCAGGCACAGTGGTGCACGCCTATAATCTCAGCGGCTCGGGAGGATGAGGCAGGAAGATTGCAAGTTCAAAGTCAGTCTCAGCAAAAGCGAGGCACTAAGCAACTCAGTGAAACCCTGTCTGTAAATAAAATACAAAATAGGGCTGGGGATGTGGCACAGTGGTCGAGTGCCTCTGAGTTCAACCTCCGGTACCAGAAAGAAAGAGAGAAAATAGAAGCTTAAAAAAAAAGTTAAACATAAAGCAATCCAATTCTAAAAAAAGAGAAGAGTAAAAGGAAACAACAAAATGCTGTGTAGCGGGCTAGCTAGGTAGAACAGTTGCCTAGCATGTATGAGGGGGAAATAAAAGAATTTTTAATACCAAAGAAAAAAATTGCTGGTGATCCTATCAAATTCTGGGTCTATATCACTTAATTTATAAAGGATGTAGAAACTAGAAAAAACTAAACCTTAAGGCACAAACAAAACAACTATTCAGAAGTACATCTCTGAAGCGGGGGGATCAATACTTGGGTATAATCTAGTAATAGCATACATCTGCTATCCAAAATGAAGTTTATTGGTATTTGTGGAAACATATTTCTCTACTCTTATTTCTGTGCAAGAGGTTTTAGATTTCTGAAACAAAATTCCCAGGCCAAGTTAAAATATCCACCAAATCTTATRTTTTACTCATTGTGGTTTTTTTGTTTGTTTGTTTTGTTTTGTTTTGTGTGTGTGTGTGGTACTAGGGATTAAATCCAGGTCCTTGAACACGCTAGGCAAGCTCTCTACCCCTGAGCTACCTCTCCAGGCCTCTACTTCTACTCTTCACATTAAAATTATCTTTTCTCTGATAATAGATGGAGCCCAGTATCCTAACTACCTTTCCAGTATATGGTTACAAYGGAAATAAATATAGTAAATTACCCAAAGAAAATCATCACTGTAAATGGAAACCTTAGCAACTGAGGACACATTCTCATGGGGTTTTTTTGGTACCACAATTGAACCCAGGAATACTTAACTTCTGAGCCACATCCCCAGCCCTTTTTATTTTTTATTTTGAAACAGAGTCTCACTAACTTGTTTAGGGCTTTGCTAAATTGTTGAGGCTGTCCTTGAACTTGTGCTCCTCCTTCCTCAGCCTCCCAAATCATTGGGATTGCAGGTGTGTTTCATTGTGCTATAGTAGGGTTTTTGCTTTGAGTCATAGATTTAGATCTGATTATTTTAAATGTGAATGGATAAAGAACTTCATTATCTGTTTTAAGATTTTTAAAAAGTTTTAACAATATCTTAGATGGTTTTTTTTGCTGCTTAAATACTAAAAAATTAATATTGTTTCCCATTTTGAATTCTTAGTTCATTTGTACTGAATAGGATTAATGTGTTAAGATTCTGTCTTTATCCTTAAAATCACTTTTTAACATTTGCTTCTTTGAATGAAGGTGTAAGTATCTACAATCACTCGTGCTTTATCATCATGAAAGTCCTTTATATAACTAGATTGCTTTGAATTCCTTGATTCTGTTTTCTAGCACTTCACCTTTCTACTGGGTTTTTTGTTTGGTCTTAGGCTATTTATTACCTAGAATGTTTCTTAAAATGTTACCCATTTTTAATTTTTTTTCAAATATTTTCTTTTTTACTTATTTATTTTTATGTGGTACTGAGGATCAAACCCAGGGCCTCGAATGTGCGAGGCAAGCGCTGTACCGCTGAGCCACAACCCTAGTCCCTCAAATATTTTCTCAACTACAATATCTTTTATGATTTTCTGCGACTCAGTATAGTCAGTATTCAATAAGCTACTCTATATCACTTGCAATTGCTCTTTTGATACTTAATATGTAAAAACATTTATGTATTCTTTATCTTATGCAGTTAATCCATTTAATCACTTGTTTGGTAGAATTTTTTTTTCTTTTTTACTAATTTTATCAATTGTAAGATGCCAGTAAATAAAAATGGGGATGAGCATCAATACTGGATTCTAGGGTCATTTAATCCAAGCATGGAGATGCATTACATTGTGAAGCTAACATTTCCTAAATTTATATTTGTATATATATTTTTCCTCCAGGTGACAGACTTGCTTAGTTAATTAAAAGTAATTGGGATCTGAGAAATTCATATGAAAGTAAAATATATCTAAAGGGAGGGAAAGGGCAAATAGTGAGAAATTATACTGGCCAAATTATATTATTTATTGTGTGCATATATGAAGGTGTAACAACAAATGCCACCATTTTGTACAACTATAATAAACCAACAAAAAATATGGAAAAAGCAAAGTAACATGTCTAAAATTTTTATTTAAAATTATTAATATCAATTTTAACCCCCTCAACACACAATAAAAGTTTTTTTTTAAAAAAAGGTTCTGAACAGAGGTATGAAAAATTGTTCTATATGTGTAATAAGAATTGTGATGCATTCCACTGTTATGTATTTAAAAAATAAAACCAATAAAAAAAATGTTAAAATGAAAAAAAAAGGTTCTGGAGTTTAATATAATAGCAACATCTTCTATTGGCTCTTCAATTCAAAACTCATCATAATCAAAAAAGCAATTGCTATCAATGGAATAAGGACTCATTGTTCTGCAAACTCAGTTGTGCTGTATCAGAACTATCTAGACCTCCTCAGCTCAAGGTTTTAATTTTTGAAATATAATCTCATAACAAGTTAAAATATCTATCAAATCTTATATTCTACTTCTATTCTTTGCTTATTTTTGCAATAATGGGGATTAAACCCAGGGCCTTGCACATGCTAGACAAGCAGTTCTAGAGTATGCTATATACAAATGACTAAATATTCTCTGCCCTAAACAGATGAACACTATATTCTGAAATTAAAATGTTTTCTCTCAAATGGGTTGATGGGTTGTCTGAGTTAAATTGTCTGAGTTAAATACCATTGTGAAATTTATGTTGTGCTTTTTTCTCTAACCATTCAATAGAGCTAAAGATTATTTCAAAATCTCATAAAAAATAGACTTTTCATAAAGGCAATTTAGGACATGTGGCCTAATTTTCTTCTTCAAATTGATTTTAATTTATGGTAATGTGGTGAACTTTAAGAGACCCTTAAAGCCCTGTGGCAACAAGACACATAAGAATAATAAAATATAGGGCTGGGGATGTGGCTCAAGCGGTAGCGCGCTCGCCTGCCATGCGTGCAGCCCGGGTTCGATCCTCAGCACCACATACAAAGATGTTGTGTCCGCCAAATACTAAAAAAAAAAAATAAATAAATATTAAAAAATTCTCTCTATCACTCTTTTTTTWAAAAATATTTATTTATTTATTTATTTTTTAGTTCTTGGCAGACACAACATCTTTCTTTGTATGTGGTGCTGAGGATCGAACCCGGGCCACACGCATGCCAGGCGAGCGCGCTACCGCTTGAGCCACATCTCCAGCCCCCTCTCTATCACTCTTTAAAAAAATAAAATAATAAAATATAAAAATATCTCAAACAAATTAATCTGGAGTCAGTACAATGGCATGTGTCTATAATTCTGGCTTCTTGGGAATTGAGGCAGGAGAACTGCCAAGTTCAAGGCCAGCTTCAGCAACTTAGTGATGCCCTCTCTCAAAATATAGAATAAAAAAGGAGTGGGGGATGTAGCTCCCCAAGGTTCAAGCCCCAGTGCTACCAAAATAATGATGATGATCTTTAAGTCTGCCAATAAAAAAAAAGAAAGAAAGAAAGAAAAAAGGAATTGAGGCCATCAGTAAAGCCTATGCATAAAGAAAGTAAGCAAAAGTAGAAGCTGACCAAATACCCTATAGACATGTATAAAACCTAGAATGTATGGTATGTATTGAATATCTTTCAGGTTATAACACCTTATTAGAGCACACTCTACCTGAAGCCAGGACTCATTACATACTACATGCTCAAAAAGTGGTCAAATGTTAGAAAATTCACTTAGTAAAAGCATGCCTTCATGGGGAGGGGGTGGTATATATGTACACAAAGTTCTTCAGATTTCACAATTTGTAGCCAGGTAACATGCTGGATCTTGGAATTTACATATTTGGGTTATTTTTTGTTTTCTTCTTCTTTTTTTTTTTTTTTTTGGTACTGGAGTTTGAACCCAGGGGCACTTAACCACTGGGCCACACTCCCAGCCCCTTTTTATATTCTATTTATAGTGACAGGGTCTTGCTAAATTGCCAAGGCTGGCTTAGAACTTACAATCCTCCTGCCTCAGCATCCCAAATTGCTGGGATTAAAGGAGTGGGCCACTGGGCCTGGCTTGAATTTACATATCTGTGTTAGGGGAAAAAAAAAATCCAGCAGAAGGCAAATACAAAATTTCCTTTGAGCAACAAACCTTCAACTTGAGTTTCAAAGAATTCACAAAGTTCTATCAAATAAAGTATCCACTAAGTAGCAACAATAAAAAAAAATGCTATAAATTCAAACTACAAATGATAGAAAGTCACAAGAATGTAGACGTACAGAGTCATATGTTAGATTTATTGAATACAGATTATAAAAATCAGTATGTTAATATATTTTTATGGAGTTATAAATCTACGCCAGGCACCTTTTAAGGTGCTGTACTCAGACTGGTTCCTTACAACAATTCCGAGGTAGTGTTCCCTTTCATATAAATTATTTCCTCTATACAGTATAGAATAACAATTAAAGTTGGTTAGTTGATGTCACAATTCTGGTTTTCTGATTGAACTGGGAACATAAGTAACCAGCAAGAGCCTATCAAAATTGACCCAATAGATTTGAAAAACAATCTAAAAAAATTTCCTCTAAAAACAATCTAAAAAAATAAGCTCAATGTTTCCATTTACAGTAGAAGAGCTCCAAAGGAACACAGATTTATCAAATTGAACAACAACAAAAGGAGGTAAAGAAATTACTCAGAATGAAGTATTAAAAAACAATATGAAAATCAAAAGGCATACATCTAACTGGATGCCAAAAGGAGATGGGGAAAGGAGAAAAAAGAATAATTAAAGAAATGCAACTGAATTATTAAGAAGTGATAAAAGGGCCAAGGGAGGCTGGGGATGTGGCTCAAGTCATACAGCGCTCGCCTAGCATGCGTGAGGCACTGGGTTCGATTCTCAGCACCACATAAAAATAAAATAAAGATATTGTGTCCACCTAAAGCTAAAAAATAAATATTT